AAATACCAGAAGTACAGGCAGGATTTCGAAGAGGGAGAGGAACTAGAGATCAAATAGCCAACATATGCTGGATCATGGAGAAAGCTAGGGAGTTCCAGAAAAACATCTACTTCTGCTTCTCTGACTATGCTAAAGCCTTTGATTGTGAGGATCACAACAAACTGTGGCAAGTTCTTAAAGAGATGGGAGTACCAGACCATCTTATTTGTCTCTTGAGAAACCTATATGCAGGTCAAGAAGCAACAGTGAGAACTGGACACGGAACCACTGATTGGTTCAAAATTGAGAAAGGAGTTCGGCAAGGCTGTATACTGTCGCCCTGCCTATTTAACTTATATGCAGAGCACATGAGAAAGGCGGGGCTAGATGAATCACCTATCAAATATCAGTTGATATTTCTTCTAATATGGTTAGAAGCATACCAATCATCCAACTTTATGAAATTCAGCTATAGAATTTCTTAGAATCAGTGTCCCAAAACTTCTTGGTTGATAGTTTCCTACTGGTCACCCTCCTTATATATAAGATGGTAAAAGTTTTGAGGGCCCAGACAAAGAAACTTACACTTTTGTAAATTAATGATATAATCATAAAGTTTGTTTCCCAAGCCAGTTACATTCATGACAGGAGATGGAGTTGTCAGACTTGTATAATTAGATCTTTATCACTCAGACTTTTTCAAACAGAACATTTGTACATTTACTACAAACACAAAGCAATACCTCATATATATATATATACACACACATATATATACACATACACACAACATTCCTTCATGAACTCAAGCAGTTTGGGCTCAATACAGATGAAGCACAGCACTTGCTGGTTGCCTTTTTTTTTTTTTTTTTAGTAAAACCAGCTTATTTAACTTATTCTGATAATAACCAGGTGTGCTAAAAGTTTTTTTTTAAATCAAGTATGTAGCACATTTGCTACCTATTATAGCAAAACACGATTTATATTAGGCATATATTGTGCATAACAGATTTTAAAGCATAACAGGGAAACAAGGTAACATTCATTTTGACTCTGTACAAGAAATCTGCAGAATTCAGAATAGATTTTGTCAGCCACATGCCAAAAGATGTATATGAAAAAGCCCTGAAGGAAGTCTCTTGTGAAAGACAGCCTCAATCTTTCCTGGAGAGAGTCCATTACAATTCCATTCTAACTTCTTTGTCTTTAAAGACAGGACAATGTACTTCTTCCATGATAAGAGATAAAAGGCATCTCTATGGAGAAGTCAGCGACCTCTCTACCTGTCCTTATAGGATCCCCCAGCCCTCTCTTCAGTCACAGTTGCTTTAGTCCTCTTCTCTTCTGCCAAAATCTTGGCTGCCACTGAGCATGCATATGCTCAGAGCATCCCTCTAGCCAGCAATATTTTCATCACCCAGCAGAGGGGGACAGTTCATCTGCAGATTCCACAATACAGTGAAGACTGCTCTCCTTGCCTCTCACATTTAGATATGCTTGTGGTTTTGTGTCTGTGCAGCAATCAGGATTTATATTCACAGTCTGGTCATCCACTAAGGATACCCAGAGCCAACAGGCTGTGTTATTTCTTAAAGACTCCACCTGCAAAGACCACTAGCATTTGGTTCCAGGGAGAGGGAGATAGTCTCTCCTTGGAACAGCATGTGTATGTGAACATGAGAGAGTAAATAAATTTTCTCCTTCAATATACCGGATATTTTTTTTTTGAGATTTCCTTTTTTAAGCAACAGCAGTTGGCCCCAGAAAGTGTCTTCAGTGGAATTTGCAAGGGGTGTATGAGGAGGAAACTAATTCTGCTTAACACTGCCCGCTATGATTACTTGGTTCAATAGAACTGTAGCTGCCCAGCCCTCTTATCCCTACCAGCTGTAACTGGTAGAGATAAGACCAGTCCTCTCATTCCATATTTCATTTTGGCACATCATACAGAACAGTTCTATACAAAAGCAAAAGAAACATGTGAACAGGGTTTTCTTGAGGCCAGGCAGTGCTTCACGATCCATAGGCCTGAATTTGTATTGCCAATTTCTATAACTAAAAAACTGCTGAATTCCTCCACTCATATCTTCATTCAAATTCCTGCATCAGGCTCTCAAAAAGGAATTGTTGAGAATTAATAATCTGCTGGAAGCTTACTGAAGTACTATTGCAGACACAATCAGATCAAACGTTGACTTCTTTTACTTTCATAGGCACATCTTTGTCCATAACTGGACGGTAAGACTCATGAGACTCATGAGAAGAGGCATTTTTCCTGTGAAAAGAAGTCACAAATTTTTAATTCATATCTATTTAATTAACTGAAAGGAATTTTAGGTTACCTCATTTTGTTAATGTTGCCTGTAGTAGAAGAAAAGGAATGCGAACATACATTCTATGCAACAGACACAAAATTTTGAAAAAAATATTAGTATTGTTCATGTTGAAGTAGTAGCTAGCATTGTTTCTTCCTAGACAGGAAAATTTAACTGTGCAAAGTACAGAAGAGCTGACTGTTAGCAACTGCAGGGTATTAGATGTAAAACAGACAAAAGTGGTTAACACTAGCTAAACAGGTTTAGAAGATGTGTAGCTTAAGCAAATATAGAAAGAATATTCATTTTCAATTGCAGTTCCTTTGAGACTCTTTTCTGAAATCAATATTTCACAGGCCTTCCTGCATTCATAGGGTCAACTTTCACAGCATATATATTACACAAGCATATGGCATAGAACAGACAACATGTCATGTATGAAGCTACCCTTCAGAAGTGTATTTGATGACCAAGTGCAGCACCAATTCCTAAATAGTGCAGTGAAATACTATCTATCTGAGAGTGCATGTTATTACCTTCTGTGTGAATCATGGACCTGGAAAGGGCAGGATGGTGCAGGTTTCAAACACAAGTAACAAATGTCGTAAGTTTGAAGTACAGTTCTTATACAAAAGTTTATTTCCTAAACTTCTTTTTGACCTTCAGGACCTTAAGTGACAGCTGTATCCAATGGTGACTTTGTGCTAACAGAAGGCACTTCCACTTACTACTCAAGATGGATTGCTCCCTGAAAATGGAAAAGCAGCAGCATGTCTCCCAGCTGGAATACAAACTTAAGGTGCAATCCTATGCACAGTTACTTCAGATTAACCCTCCATTGAGAGCAGTAGAACTTGCATAAGACTGTGCCACTGTTATGGCTGGCCAGAGGTGGCCCATTCAGCCAGACCATACTAACCCTACCTTATTCTAAGTCCAAGGGAAGGAACCTCCCTTTTGAAATCAGTTGCAAGTCTCTGCTAAAGCTAAAAGTGAGATGATCTGGATGCTGCCACTGCCATACAGATGTCCTGGCTGAAGTAATGAGGCCAATGCCTCCTCCTGGCAAACCTACTGAATAGTCAAGTGTCTAAATGTTGAATTTCCAACAGTCCATCTTGAAACTGGGAAAAGCAGGTTGCTTACCTGTAACTGATGTTCTTCGAGTGGCCATCTGTGCAGTCACACATTTGGGGTGCTGTGCCTGCGCAGTGCCTTTGGCCGGAAGATTACAAGCTAATGGTTTTTTTTGGCGGGAAAGCTCTGCTCCCCCTCCCCCACAGCCTATAAAGAGCGGAGCGTCTGCCATTTTGTTCAGTCTTTGACGACCGGCCAGACGCCCCCATGTGGAAAAAAATTAGTTCTACCGTGAACAGCATCGGTACCAAGAAATAATGAACAAGATCCGTACCAAGAAATAATGAGAATATTCAGTACCGACGAAAAATCCACTCACCGACACCGAGCGGGGCCGGCAGGTGGGTTGTGTGACTGCACAGATGGCCACTCGAAGAACATCAGTTACAGGTAAGCAACCTGCTTTTCTTCGTCGTGGCCTCTGTGCATCACACATATGGGTAGATTAACAAGCTTACCATAATGGCGGAGGGGAGGTGTCCTCAACGAAGAACAGATGAAAGAACGGCTCTGCCAAAGGAGCAATCCTGCCGAGCCCGAACGTCTAGACAATAATGTCTGGCGAAAGTGCAAGAGTTCGCCCAAGTAGCAGCTCGACATACATCATCAATTGGGACTTCCAATGCGAAGGCAGATGAGGCAGCAACAGCCCTAGTCGAATGGCCTTGAGGGGCTGTGGGTAAGTCGATCTTAGCCAGTTGGTAAGACAAAGTGATAGTATGGACTATCCACTTGGAAAGTCTCTGCAGAGTGACAAGGGTGCCTTGATCTCTGGTAGCATACTTAACGAAGAGTCTATTTGAACGTTGAATAGATTCTGTCCTAGATCTGTAGAAGGCTAAACAGCACCGAACGTCAAGTGAATGTAATGATCTTTCTAATGGAGTAGACGGAGACAGAAAGGCAGGCAGGCAAAATAATATCTTGTCCCATATGAAAAGGTGTGGACACCTTAGGTAGAAAGGATGGATCGAGCCGCAGGACAACCTTTTCTCTATGAAAATTGAAGTAAGGTGGGTCTACGCGTAGAGTGCAGAGCTCACTGGCCCTTCGGGCTGAGGTAACCGCCACTAGAAACGCTGTTTTCCATGAGACAAGACATAAATCGACTGTTGCTAATGGTTCGAAAGGAGCTCTCGTAAGTGCTTGCAGAACAACAGAGAGAATCCAGGTAGGCACTACTGGTCTGATCGACGGATTCAGATTATAAAGCCCCTTCAAAAACCTCTTAATAGTAGGTTGAGAGAAAATGGACGATCCGTCCACCATGCCATAATGATAGGTGATCGCCGCCGTATACACTTTAATCAAAGATGGTTTCAGTCCAGAATGGTGTAGTTCTAAGAGAAACTGGAGAATTTGGTGTATCGATGATGTAAGTGGAGAGAACGAGAGTCAGCAAAGGTGGAAAATCGCTTCCATTTAGCCACGTAAGACTTCCGTGTAGAAGGCTTTAAAGCGGAGTCCAAGATGTGTTGAATGTCTGGATAAAAGGTTGTCAGATTCGGTGGAGCAATCGTCAGGTCCGACAGTGCTGAAGCAGCGCCGACTCCAGCGGATCTGAAGGTTGGATTCGAACCACCTGAAGTTATCGTCGGTATAGATGAATGAAGCCAGCTATCGTATTTGCCACGCTGTTAGTTTCAACGATAGTATAGCTGGGTAGCGAAGTGCACTGTCCTGCTGAGTTATGAGGTACGGGAGCAGTGGAAGATGGAGGTATTCCCAGTGAGAGATGTCCAGCAGTGTGGAAAACCAAGGCTGGCGTGGCCACCAAGGAGTAATTAGTATCCCCATGGCCCAATCGTATACGATCTTCGCTATGACTCTCATCACCAGAGGAATCGGTGGGAAGGCGTAAAAATTCAGGTTGTTCCATGGAATCATGAAGGCGTCCCCTAGGGATTTGCACCCAATTCCCGCTCTTGAACAGAAAGTCGCACACACCTTGGTCTGTTGGGTGGCGAACAAGTCGACGTCGGGGAACCCCCAGCGATGAAAGAGATCTTCGCGTGTCTGGGGATCTAGCTCCCATTCGTGGGAGATGAGCATGCGTCTGCTGAGAAGGTCCGCTTCCACATTGTCCGTACCGGCCAGATGGACTGCTATCAGCGTAATGTCTCTCGAAATGCACCAGTTCCAGATCTGCATAGAAAGTCTGGCCAGGGTCGGAGATTTCGTCCCACCTTGTTTGTTCAGATAAAAAACGGTGGCTATGTTGTCCGACGTTATCTGAACGACCCGATGTTGAAGAACATCTTCGAAAGAAAGTAGGGCTTTGAATACGGCCAACAGTTCCAGGAAGTTGATATGAGTCGCGCATTCCCGACGATTCCACGTGCCCTGGGTGTGCAGGCCGGAGCATATCGCTCCCCACCCCAGAAGAGACGTGTCGGTACTGACTGTTATCGATGGGTATCGGGGCCTGAAGGGGACCCCTACAGTCAGATTGGTCGGGACCGACCACCATAGCAGAGAATGGAGCACCAAGGATGGAACTCGAAGCAGTTTCGACGGTGGATCTCTCTGTGGATGGAACGCCTTGTTGAAAAATAGCTGCAAAGGACGAAGTCGCAGTCTGGCGTATGGTAGCACAGCAATGGAGGAAGCCATATGTCCTAGAAGCCTCTGGATGGACTTCACTGGAACAGATCTGGCTCGTCGCATTCGATGGACATGGTGAGTGAGCGTCAGTTGTCTGTCCTGAGGGAGGAATGCCTTTTCCAACGTGGAATCCAAGTGGGCTCTGATGAACGTAAGCTTCTGTACCGGAAGAAGAGAAGATTTCTCGGTATTAATGCATAGGCCCAGATCGTCCAATAAGGCACAGGTAATACGGATAGAAGTGAGAAGTGCTTCCTTCAACCTGGAGACCAGGAGCCAGTCATCAAGGTAAGGATAAATTTGTATGCCCTAGAGGCGTAGGTAAATGCAGACGGGGCCACGCATTTAGTAAACACTCTCGGAGTGGTGGCCAAACCGAAGAGTAGAACCATAAATTTGTAGAAATTGGAGGCAACAGCAAAGTGAAGGAAACACCTATAATTGGGATGAATCGCAATATGGAAATAGGCGTCCTTCAAGTCCAATGAGGCAAACCAATCATTTTTCCTTAGCAGCGGCAAAATATTTTGAAGGGTCGTCATTCGAAACTTTTTTGTCACGATGGATCGATTCAGATTACGTAAGTCCAAAATCGGACGTAGGCCACCATCCTGTTTCGGGACTGTAAAATATCTGGAATAGAATCCATGAAGTCCATCATATTGAGTTACTTGACGAATTGCTCCTTTACGAAGAAGTTGTTGTATTTCATCGAACAGTGCCAACGAGCATGATGTAAACTGGATTGAACTTGATGGAGGAACGATGTCGAATTCTATCCGATAGCCGTGCTGTATGATGGACAATATACCGATCAGATGTGATGAACTCCCAAATGGGGAGTTGGCTTCACAGCCGGTCCCCAGATGAGAGGGGGGTGGGTACGGGATAGGTTAGAGGAGTGGTTCGCCCGTCCCGTCAACGCTGCCTCCTATCGTCATATCGGCGGCGACCCTGTTGGTAGTGTTGTTGGGGCTGTTGTCGGCGGCGTTGTTGTGCCTGTGCTGAGGCTGTTGCCTGGGATGGTAAGGCTGTCTGTAGGGCGGACGGGTTCATGACCACTTACGTCTTGGGAGCTCCATCCGTCGGGCCATCATGCGGGACTCATTGAGTTTTTTAACTTTATGATCTGTTTTAGAATGGAAAAGCCCGGACCCGTCAAAGGGCATTTCCTCAATTCGGCGCTTGGTCTCTTCTGGAAAGTTGGCGCTCCTCAGCCACGCATGCCTGCGGAGAGAGACAGCACCGACCAAGGCCCTTGAGTTGGTGTCCACATGGTGCCTGGCTGTGGACAACTGCTGAACTACGACGTGCATCGCCTCCTTAATTAGCACCTTGGCCAGGTCACTCTGGTGGTCTGGGAGGGCTGGGACAACGTTGTGAAGGTGCTGCATTATAAAATACTGGTATCTCGCCAACGTTGCCTCGTAGTTTGAGATATGCAGCCCCAGGCCTGAAGCTGCGTAGACCCTCCTGGCCAGGGAGTCGATCTTACGGCCCTCCTTATCCCGCAGAGCGGTGTGGCCTCTTGCCTCTCTACCCTGGGAGGACTCCACCACGACCGAGTTCGGCTTGGGGTGGCAGAGGAGGAATGGGATGTTCTCCTCCCGAACCCGGTACATGGCTTCATACCTCCGAGACGTGGGTTGAGGGTGAGAGGGCAAGTCCCATGGTTGTGCCATTGCCTGCCGTAGGGTGGTGATCAAGGGCAGGACGATCAAGCTGGACTGCTCCCTGCGGACATCATAAAATTTGTCCATTGACGGTCCCGGACGCTGGACGGCGTCGATATCCAGAGACTGGACAAGGCTGGACATCAACTCTGCGAAGGAGACATGGGACTTGTCCAGTGACGCAGGGCCCTGGGAGGTCACAGCGACGGTGGGAGAGGTGGAATCGATGTCCAAGTCGTCAGAGTCCATGCCGTAATACAGGGGAGCCGAAGAAGAGGACTCCACCGGCGAGACGGACCGGCTGCTTTCATCCTGAGGAGCCGGGGATGCGTGCCTCGGATCCAGCGGCAGCAGGCGATCGCAAGAGGGTGGTGGGGACCGATCCCTTGGCGCGAGATAGTACCCGGTAGAGTATGGCTCGCCCCAGGATGGATAATAGGAGTGACGCCATCCCTCAGATCACTGTTCCCTCGAGCGACTCCTGTGGGCCCTAGGCGGGGATCCAACCACATCCGCCTCCATTGTGGCCATGGGCATAGGTGTGGGCGACCTAGCCCTGGGGGGAGAGTCTTGAATTTCCCCATCAGAAATCGACCCCTGCTGAAGAGTTGGAAGCGACTCGGTGGGGAGGTCCGCCACACATCGAGGGGACCCTTGGGGGGTGACCCGCATGGCTGCCTGGAGTACCGGTTCAGGTGGGGTCGGTACAGTAGCTGCCACCAGTACCGAAGCGGCCGTCGAACCCGAGTCGCGGTGCCGTGGGCGCTCCGGGTCCTTCGACTTCTGAGCCAGTTTAGTAGGCTTCTCTTTCCTGGCCTTCTTTGCTGATTTATCGGTATCAGCATGTTTGCACTTCTCACGTTTCTTCTTAGGAGAAGCGGGTGGGGCCCTCAGGGTAGAAGCACCTTCGTCCAAAGGGCGAGAGGGCGGGACCACCACAGCAGGGCCAGGCTTCGGAGCAACGACGAGTGGGTCGGACTGCATGAGAGCCTGATCCCACAGGAGTCTCCAGAGGCGGTTCTCACTATTCTTCCTGGCCTGCTTAGAGAAGGCCAGGCAGTGAGAGCACTTGTTGGTCCTATGCCCCTTCACCAAGTAGAGGAGGCACAGGTCGTGTGGGTCAGATGGAGACATTTTCGACCCACATTCCGCACATTTGCGGAAAGCCGCTCGCTGCGCCATCGCAAGAAAAGGAAAAAAGAAAGTGCAGAGAGTAAGAATATATTTTTGTTTGGTTTGGTTTTTTTTTTATAGAAGATCGGAGAAGGTAGAACGATAGAACTATAGAACAAACAAGAACTAACAAGAACTATAGAGATAACAAGAACTAACAGGGATGTAATAACTGGGAGTTTAATAAAGGAGAAGTAGTAGTATACGAGTAGCAGTCAGCGATAGTCAAAAGCGGCATGAGGCACAGTGAACAGCGGTCGTAAAGACTGAACAAAATGGCGGACGCTCCGCTCTTTATAGGCTGTGGGGAAGGGGGAGGGGGAGCGGAGCTTTCCTGCAAAAAAAACCCGTTAGCTTGTAATCTTCCAGCCAAAGGCACTGCGCAGGCGCAGCACCCATATGTGTGATGCACAGAGGCCACGATGAAGAACAAGCCTTTACTGAACAGTCTGGGCAACTGAAGCTTTCCTCCTAACTCCCCCAAATCCCCTGTATCCTTTTGGATTGTGAGGTGGATGGCAGAGGTTGTCTGTTGATTCTTTTAAGCTGTTCTGGGAGTCTCTTTAGTGAACAGCAGGATATAAAAGATTAAATAAACAAACAGATAAAGAAGTAAGTGGGTAAGAAAAAGACAACCAGTACAGCAGACTTAAAATGCATGGCCCAAATAAGCCACTCTCATTATCATCTGACTTCTTTGCTGGAAATCAAGTCCTATTCACATATTTCCAATGTTCATTTACAATTGTTGAGGACCATATAATGAATGCTTTCCATGAGTGTACTTACTTCAACAGAGACCCTGCAAACACAAAATGTTATGCAAAGACAGTCTCTTCATGATTTGACTTGATGTTTTGGCTAAGATTGAGTAAGTTAGTCAGAAAATATACTTGGATAAAGTGAGCATAATGATACAGAGTTCTCTGGAAAGGCTTGGCCATGTTTATGTTTGAAATGGAGACTGGAAGTGCTCAATATTCAATATGAAATGAAAAATGTGAACAGATTCAAATAGGTTAAAAAAGCAACTAACAAGTTTGATATTTTAAAATAAAGGCAAATATATATGGTTGCCTAAAAAATCAAATGCCAAGACACTTCAACGTAACACCATGCCATTTCAATTCCATAGCAAACATTTTTGCAATGTAATACAAGTTTCTCCACATATAGCCATGTGTAATCTGTCAGGATTCCAAACAAACTGGGTATATATTTAACTCACTTATCCAAAACCATGAGAATACATCAGTATCTTTTCATAAAGTAATCATTTTAAGAGATTGTTGCACTGAATATATGTGATTAGTAAAAGATTGCTGTATTAATTTCAGGTCACACAATAGTGTTCATAGAATTCCATAAACCTATCTAGATATATAACATAAAAAGGACAAATCGAGCATATAGTGCTACAGGGAAAATAGACAATGCTGCACACAGTGATTGCGAAAAAGAAAGTGGTTATGCATGATAAAAATTCAGAACAATCTCATTTTCATCTATTAATAATAATTAAAAACTGATAGCTTAAATACCAGCATGGCAGACAGCTCCTGTGAACAACAGTGACTGCACATAAAATCTTCTCACTGTGTCCAAAAGTCAGAGTCACAAAGCACAGTAAGCCTTGCACGCTCCTGACATCTCAGATTGACACACAGTGTTGTGTAGCCTTTTTTGGACATAGATTTTTGAAATTTCAGTGCCAGAATATTCATTAGACAGTGTCAGGCCTGTGTTAGAATGGACAGGTCATATAAAAAAGACAGGGCCGTTTTGCACTCCAAAATGCCAGTCCTAGGAACTTCATAAAATGCAGATTAGCCATTCTTGACAAACTACATTTTACCTGATGCTGTTTGTTCTGTGTTGGGATTAGTGCAATTGCTCCACGTACCAAACATAAGCCCTTTCTGGGCACAAAGCACATTTATATGGAAAGCACAGGCAGTAAGGAAAGCACAAGACAGCCCAGAAGCACACGCTCATTCAAAGAGCTGGAAGGAGGCTATAGAAACCAGAGATAGCATGTCTTGGGCTGACTCACCCCTTTATACACCGGTCTTTGAATTTGATAGTTATAACAACTGCAGCAATCGCAACAGCAACCACAATTCCTTGAAGGGAAAAAGTAAAAAAAAATCCAGTGATGTGCTGAAAAGCGTAAAATAAACTGTGCCATCTGTGTTTAGCCATTTCCATTTGCTTCTGGTTTTTCCTATTATGAATCTAGGGCCGGAACCACAATGTCTTCATAGAAGGAAGTGGGAATCCTCTCATGCACAAGCTACCTGGACATACACAGCTGATGATGCAACCTCTTACCTGTTCCGTGTTTATTAAGCGGCCTGAGACATCAACTAACATTACTGGCCCAAGCAATAGCATTACTATGGTCAGACAGTTCTGCAGAAATTTTAAGGATGCACTACAGCCACTCCACTCAGGTGGATTAGACTGTACACAGTTAAGCAGTGAGCCAACCAAAGAGCTGCCCTTAGCCCCTTTCTGGGCAGAAATGAATAGAGAACATTCCTTGGAGAACAGAGTCTAGTAACACTGCCAGCTTTTTCGCTGCCCAGCAGTACAGTCAAACTGGTTATAGTGACATTCATGAAGTAAACACTCACCCCCAAGCAATGGTTCAGGTTTGAATGCCCACTTCCTCTCTGGCTTGGTGGGCATCAGAATATTTTCAAATAGCTAAAAAGCAACTTGGTGAGAACATGGACAAACTCTGTACTCGATTTGGAAGCTAGCTGTGCCCACCATCCCAAAAGCAAAGATAGTTAATGTAGGCATGTGTGTGAGTTTACATAAAAGCAGGGATTGCCTTACCATAAAAAAAAAAAAAGAAACCCAATCCTGGAGTAGGTATGGTAATCTGTATCCTGATAGAATGCTTGCCAAAGACACTGCAAATTTCCTTCAATTAGGAGTCCTCCACAAAAACATTAAGTTCCCCCTGATTATTTCTCTACAGTTACTTACCAACTGCAATCCCAATAGCCTTGCCATGTCCTGAAATGGAAGAGGGTGGGGGGAAGTAAGTTAAAATCTGAAGCTACAATGGATGCCTGAGCTAAATCTCTAGCTGGAAACAAGGAATGTTTTTTTTTTTTTTTAAATCTTTAATTCTTCCAGGTTCAAGACCTTATTGAAGAGATGGCCAGCCTTTAACTAAATCGCACAGTATTTGCTACTATTGTTTTTCTGTTATTTTACAACTGTTTCAGAATCTTGTTTTTGCTAATAGGAATATACCATATAGGATGGGAAATTTTTGTATGGGATTAAAATGTATTATTTGAGAAAAGCCTGTTCAGTTTCAAAGACCTTTCTATAAGAGCTAGGATTCCTGACATGTTTCATTCCAAGCATTAATGAACTAAAGAAAATATAAGAAGCTAACTCCTATACTTCTCTGCTTTAAAGGATGTCCCATTTAGGACAAACGGGCTTGCCCCTTGAAGGTGGATCTAGGACTGCAATCCAAATGCATGTTCTAAAAATGTTACAAACCAAGCTTCTTTCCAGCACTGTACTGGGACTTCCTTAGAAAGGGTTGAAAATGATTCTAGAATCAATAAAAAGGCAATCCTTGGGACTTGCCTGTGCCTCTCCATTCCTAATCAGTATCTCAGATATCTCAAAATAGAATCGCTTCACATTTGAATCGATCTGAATCGCTTCACATTTGAAAAAAATACTACCATGTCTCTCTGAGAAGTGCAAGAGCTAAAATGAATTAAGAATGTTTGTGGCCTACAACCACTGTTTACCTGGTTTGTCCTTAAAATCTGGTACATCTGGCTTCTGTGTAGTTCCTATGTGAGGGAGGTAATTTTATATGGCTTTCAAAACTTATAATTTAAATGACTGCCCTGCATAAAGGTAAGCCTCTATGTGCAGAAATACAATCTATAAGTTAGAAACAGAGGACACTCTGTAGTAGGGAAGGTGAATGGTTGACTCTCCAGATGTTACCAAATTATAAATCTCATCATCCCTCATCATTGGCTGTGTTGGGAGTTGTAGTCCAACATCTGGAAGGTCACATTCTCCACCAATTCTCTAAGCCATATAATAGGAAAATAAATTCAAACCCAAAAAGAAAAACCCAGAAAAAGAAACCCAGACAAAACAAACTGCAATGGAAGTAAATAAGGGAAAGCCAGTAGTTTCCTTGAGGTTTCATTTTGCTTTTGAAGGAAATTCAGCTTTAAACATACACACCCCAAATAAGTTAGACAAAACAGTTACCTACAGACATCAGTATATCACAAGCACAAGAAAAGAGAGTCCTAAACTTTGCAATCTCATGGGCATATAACTGAAATTTGTGAAAGTGTAATGGCCACTGCCACAAAGTTGATACCATGAAGGCTGAGCCAGTCACCAAGGACTGACCTCCAAATGCCAAACCAGACATTTGCTCTGATCTGTGACTCAGAGGCATTATGTGGAAAGAGAGTGCTTGCTTCCTGGAGATGAGGCTGCTTTTTTTTTCCGCCTAAATTAGGCACTGACAACAAGGAGACACATTAGATAGCAAGAAAGGTTAATACTGGATTACAGTACTAGTACTTAAAGGAACATATGTTCTCTCTTTTTTTAAAAAAAGACATATAAAAAAACCCATTCCCGCTATTTCTTTATGCTTTTCCAAAACGTTTCTCCCTCCCTACGCCTACATATGTCTATGTAATGGCCTCTTCACTTATATTGTAATATTTGGATTAGCTTCTCCTAGCACTGTCCTTGGAACTTTATTAATCTGTTTGCATTCAACATTTTTTTTCTAACAGCAAACAGAAGAGCTGACAACCTGTGCCTCTCCATTCCTAATCAATATCTCGGATATCTCAAAAGCGAATCACTTCACATTTGAAAAAATACTACCTTGTCTCTTTGAGAAGTGCAAGAGCTAAAATAAATTAAGATTGCTTGTTGCCTATCACCACTGTTTACCTGGTTTATCCTTAGAATCTGGCTGCTGCGTAGTTCCTATGTGAGAGAGGTAATTTTATATGGCTTACAAAAAAATGAAAGGAGCATGGACAACTTATAAATTGAATGACTGGCCTGCATAAAGGTAAGCCTTCATGTGCAGAAATAGATTCTGTAAGTTAGAAACAGAGGAGACTCTGCAGTAGGGCAGATGAATGATTGACTCTCCGGATTGTAGCCAAAGAGGGGTCACCAAGTAACAAAAGGGATGATGTTTAGGAGAACTGTGTATATATACAACAAAAGTGCAGGATTCTTCCTAAGGTGGCCAACTCCCCAAGACACAGCCAATGGGAAATAAGCATGCTGAGTAGCCATGAAATACAGAACAGTTGAGAAAATCAACTCCCAACATAGGATGAGAGAAATTGTAATATTCTTTACATACTAATATCCAATTACAAGGAATAGCGACACGAATTCTGAAGAGAAGCACACTTCTTAGCAATGAATACAAAGTGTAATTCTTATACTGCAAGCCTATTACTGTGCTACCTTATAGCTTTTCTATACTGTTCTTCATTGAATTTCATTTGGAGATGTTATCAAGAGCTGCATTCCAGTGATTGACAGGACAAAATGGGCATGGCCAAAATATGAACACATCCTTTCCTTGGTGGCTCTTAGTTTTACCTACATCCTCTCTCAATTCCATAATTATATGGATTTCTTGCTTGCAAATATGTTCTGACATTGACTCCTGGTAGGCACCTTATGCATCAGCAAGAGAACCTGCAGAATTAAAGCCCATTTTCAATGCTCATCGTATCATAAAATAGTAGAGTTGAAAGGGGCCAATAAGGCCATCGGGTCCAACCCCTTGCTGTTGCAGGTCACCAATTTACACCATCTTGCTCATTCTAACTATCTTTCTAATAAAGGGATGAAAAAACCTGCTTAAGACTGGGAAAATTGACCTTGCTAGGCTTAATGGATTAACAGTCTACATTTTATCTAGAACTTAAAAACACTGTGCCTAAACTCCACATAAAAGAAGGGTTGAAAACTGGAAGGGTGATATAAATTTATAAATAAAACCCCCACAAAGAGATCAAAGCAATTGTTACCAGGTTTTTCTGTTGGCCTTCTGGGTGGTCCTAGTTAACAAGAAACAGATGCTGATATTGAGATGCACTGAAGCCTCTTTCAACACTCAGGAGTTAGAAAAGTGTACATGGGGGTCACACAGAAGGAACATTCACACAACTAGTTTCTCCCATGATACTGCCCTTTGGAAAGTTACACTGCTTCTGGAGCTTCTAAAATGCTTCATGGATAGAACTTTGCAAGATCAGCAATCATTTATTTTGATAGGGTGCTAGGGATTTGCAGAGCCACTACAAGATTTTCCATATTTGTTCTTACTCTGCATAAAAATCCATCAAACTCAAAATTCTTCAGCATACATGTAATATTCACATTCAACAAATGTGTGTGTATATGCTTATTTTTGAATGTGAATATTACATGTAACTATACTATGCACACACACACGTATATGTATATGCATGTATAAACACACAAGAGATAGATATGCATATATTTACTTAATTCTGCTTCTGAAGTTGTTGTTGTTATTATTATGTATAGTCATTATGATGGGCTCCCACTTCACTAAGAAATCAGTTTTACCCCTTTTGTTTATCTTCAGAAATGTCTGAGATAAACTTGCATTCATTAGTAAGAGTCAACGATCACAAGCAAAATGGTACCACATACGAAGTAACATTTGACTTGTTAACTAGATTAGAAATCAGAACACTATTTTGTATATTCTAAAGTATAGTATTTCTCATTCTAAAATTTGAACATTACAGTTGGTCCAATGGCATTATAACTCACTTGTAGTTTCATCTTTCTTATCTCCTGAATGAATGGTTGTGGTGGTGGCGGTGGTGGTGGTAACGGTAACTGACAAGCAAGAGGAAAAAGGCATATAACACATCTAAGTGTAAAGAGATTCAAAAAACATTTAAGTCCATTACTATACTTACTTTTGACACATGTTGGAACATCAGGTTTCCATTTACTGTCAGCGCCACATTTAATAAAGTCGCTGCCCTGAAGTGTATGGTGAGGATCACATTCAATCCTTATAATATTATCATATAAATACGTAGATTGAAAGGTACTCGCTACTCTACCATTTGGGATTTGTGGTCTATTACAGCGGACATCTGAAAAGAAAATAATGCCATCAGTAATGGTTGGGCAACATACATATGCAAATAATTACTAACGACTCATTATTTAGCCTGTACAAGGTAAATTGTGGTTAGTTGAATTTTAAAGCCATTGCCTCAAATGAGGAGTTGCTTTGAATTACTATGTCATATAGATTTCACACAATGGGAAAAAACCACCTCTCTGTATTAATTCTATTCAGGATAGCAATTGCTATTTAGTTTTTCTTTCCTGAATAATGGAGAGGAAAATACAACATTGTAATTGTTTTTCTCTCATGGATTGTATATAACACCATAAACCAGCTAAATGTACTAACAATGAAATAAAAATTAAACTGGTGGAATAAGGTGCTCAGTACTTAATCTGATTTCTTTGCTTTCAGCAGAATTTAGTATTGATGAGCTTTAGCTGACCAGGGCTGTATGTATTCACCAGAATGGCTCAATTTAACGTTATAGCAAACTGAGGGTAGGCTGACTGCTTCACTAGCCCCATGAAATCATAAGGAAGGCAAGTGCAGTCCATGAAGGTTACACTGCAGTAGTGTTCTTGGTGGACAACACATTTAATCAACTGTAGTTAAGAATGTCATGTCCTCAAAAGCAATTTAACACACTGCAGGTATGATACTAGACATGAACTTCCATTACCTTTACACTCTGGTGCATTCGGTTTCCACTCTCCATCCACACCATTGGCTTTAACTGAACATGAGATACTTGCAGAACCAATAAGGGAAAAACCAGCATCACATCTGTATGTTACTGCATTGCCAAATGAATATTCATCATCAGTACCAGAATGTGTTCCGTTGGGAATGACTGGTGGTGGATAGCAAAGGATTGCTGAGGGAAAGAATAAATGTTAATTGTTCAGGTAGATTAACTGGAAAAAAAAAAGGATTTCTGGGGGAAAAATCACCATTAATTGTTCAAGTAGAGTGCTGCACTGCTATTAAGGCTGTAGTGGTCTGCTGTTATTTTAATTGAAAAAATGTTCATCTGTTTGAGGTAGGCACTTGAAACAAACAAGTAAATTTATACATTCTACCAATGGACAGTAAGAAGCAGCAGTGAAGTCACTTCTCTACTCCCTGCTATTAAAGGGAACTGGTAAAATAACATCACATGGTCTACCTGGATGTGTTTCTGCCCCCACAACCTTGTAATTCTTTGCAAGTAAAGGCAGGATATAAATGCAATGTAATAATAAAACATGAGAACAGGGTGGAAAAATATTTTCCTTGCCCTGCATTTTTAACTGCAAGGAACCCAAACTGGATTACAAAATCCTCTGCTCCATTTTAACAACACAACAGCCATGTGAGGAAAGGTAGGCTCAAAGTCAATGACTGGCCTAAAGTCATGCAAGTGAGCATCATATCTGAGAAGCCAAAAACCTGGATCTCCCAGGTCCCAGATCAACAGTCTAACCACTACTCCACACTAGCTTCTCGTATAATTCCACATCACTTATCATCACAGTTATGTGGGTCAAAATACTCTTGCTTAAGAGAGTAACTGGATGCTTAAAAGATGTAGTAATGTGTTTCAGCTACACTGAAATGCACTAAGAGGAAGCATAGCAAGGTTAAACAAAAATATAATCTTACGTTGACAAAATGGAATAGCTCCACTCCATGAAACTGTGTTCCCTGTCACTACACAACGAGCTTTTTCTTGACCTACTAATCTGTAACTAAAAAGAAGAAGAGTGTTACATTTTAGCACACAGCACACATCCTATTTATCAGCTAATATGTTCATTTTATTTGGCTGTAGCACCCTTTCTAGTGATAGCACTCTCAGTGCCACTTAGAAAAATAGGAATTACCTTAAAGAACAGCTAAGCAGAACAGAGCAGAATGAGCATATCAGCAGTCATACTGAGAACAGTTCAATCTACATTTAAAGTAGGAGTGGCCAAGGTGGTAAGACCACAGGCAGGATCCAACAGCAGTTTGAATGGCAGTTCCCCATTCCTGTTATCTCTGCCTGCTCACCCTGACATGCTCAATGGAATACTGGGGGAGATGCAGTGTGCAGGGTTTCTTCTGTCCAGTTGCTCACCCTCTCTCTGGACAGTGTAGTTAGGCTCAATCTAGGAGAGCCAGTCTGGTCTGGTATTGTATTTTTATTAATGCGGTTTGGTTTTACTTGGCACTTGTCTTTGTAAGATTTATGGCCTTAAAGATGAAAGATAAATAATTTTAAAATAAATAATGGTTCAAATGTTTAACATTAACACTCAATAAGTTAAAAATAGGATTTGACTAGTTTTTGACTGATAACTTACCCATCATTGCAGGAGAAGATTATTTCAGAACCAAGCTCAAGGTCACCTGTGGATTCTATTCTTCCATTTTCTAGATCTTGAGGTCTGCATTTTCTTGCTTAAAGAAAAATTAGAACCAGTATTGCCACATGTTGTTATGATTCTTTAAACACAACCAACACAAAGCAAACAATCCCCAAAGTACAACATACTACAGACTGCTTGCATTCACGCACAAGGTTAAGCACTGATGTGGTTACCACATAGCATGGTATCTCACCTTATCTCCTGGGTTCAGACTGGTGCATGGCTTCTATGCATCCAGTTTCCATGTTTCTCCATCTTCCTTCCAAATGGCAGTACATATCTCATCAGCTCCAGCAGCTCAAAATCAACCCCAAGCTGCATTGCTCCTATCTGCCTCACCTGTTTCTCCCTCATTGGCCCACACATTCCATTATGTGGGTGGCCTTAGCCAGCAACTTCTTCCATTTTTTTCTCCTGCTGCTTAGCAAAGCAACTGTCTACTCAGTAGAGGAGCACTGCTGCTCTAGAGGAGCACTACAGGGACACTTCCAGTGTTGCCCTGTGGACATCTAGCTGGGAAAGTTTTCTGGTTGGCTGCAAGTAGTATGCTTGTCCTACACCTGTGGCAGAGGGGCAGGGAACAGCAGGGCTTGTTGACAGCCTCAGGACAAGACAGGAGCAGTGGCGAGCCCTAGTGACTAAATGTATTATTGAAGAATTCTATAATAGACAAACTGAAATTAATTAGAATTAATGTGTTATGAAAACAGAGTAATATGGAGGTGTAGGCCCATAAGGTTCCCTTACTATCACATCAGGTGTCAGATAACAAGCCAGAGTGCCATAACAGTATCTCCAAATTCCATGTTTGGCCACCAGCTCAAAAAGGTCAGGGAAGGAAACCCCATTAGCTTTAGCCAATTGGCAGTTGTTACTTTGAGAAACTGCTGTGGTCACCACCCCAAAATACCTAAGTAGATTGCCACTTTGGTGTCAACCTCTTGCGTTCATGAGTGTTTAGGCTGCATCTTTTGTACTGCATTGGAGCCCCCCGTGTTAAAAACTCCCTGGTGTAAGTATACAGTCAAACTATAATTCTTTGATGTCAGACATGCTACAGTCAACAGTCGTAATGAGCTCAAAATATTGAGTCAAATGTGTTATAGAGGACCAGGGAACTTACAGCAAGAAGCAAAATACACTTTTACCTGCTACTAAGAATGTACCAGATAGCTAATCAGGTTTTGTAAGCCATTCCATTTCCACATACACAGTTATTCATTTGACAGCAGCTTTTTGGATTTCTCTGAACAAGACACAGACTAGAAACTAAATTGCTGAAAGGTTCTAAGAATGTTGAATTTTACAAGTATTTTAATTGGCATGTTACAAGATCCCTGTAGAACTCTGACAAAGATACTCACGTTTACAAAATTTAGCAGTTTCTTGCCATTTTGAAGTATCAAGGCACTTAGTGCTTGTAGTCAGTCCAGGTATGTTTTCATAACCTGTTATGCAACGGAATTGCACAACAGTCCCAACAGAGTAAGAGCCATTTTCAGATGGATTCCTCACCTCTGCATAGAGGGGTGGGTCTGGAGGGCCACAATCACCTGGGTAAAGCAAGAGATAGGATGTTTGAAGGAGGAAAATTAAACCATTAAACAAGCCATTGTTCTTAATGAGAACTGTAGGGGCATTTTAATAGATTCCTGGAGTGCATTTGACAAGTACAGCTGACAACAGAAGCTTACCATTTATACATACCAGGGCAACACTTAATGGACTGAAGGATACCAAGTCCAATGCTACAGTCATCAGTCTAAGGCCAAATGCCCTGTTTAAGCAATCAGTTCAGGTTTGGCAAAATCAGTCAGTCCCACTGATATCAGCCTTCTAGGTAGAGGATAAGTATTGGAAGTGAGAAAGACAGTTGCTCTTGGTGCCCATACCCAAGGCCTGTTGATTAGGATTCAGAGGAGGAACAGCTGGGGGAAGCTTTGGAATGTGCGCCAATTGTAGACATTAGAATGGGAGAAGTGGAGATGCTTAGCGCAAGGCCAGATTCCCCAGGTGTGCAGGCAGCCTCTGAGAATAACCATGATGTACAGGTATCTGGAGGGTGCTTGGCACAGGAAAGGTTCTCAAGAACAGACAGAATGGGTACAGCTCTCAACCCCATGACATGGGCAGAGAATAATCTGTTCTTTATATGGACTTTGAATTCTTCAGGGATGTTGTTTAAGTTGTGTTTTGGCACTACATTTCTGTTGGTGATCATTTTCATCTTTATTAGGCTTTTTGATATTAAGAGTTCACGGCCACTGCTACAATCTTCTCCTGGGCTTGATTTAGCAGTAATAATACAGATTCTCCATCTCCTGCTTCCAATTACATAGTCAATTTGATTTCTGTATTGGCCATCTGGTGATGCCCATGCATACAGCTGTCTGACTGCATCCAGTATGTATCTGCAATTAACATTGTTGGCTTCACAGAGTTCTGAGACATCTTCCTGCTTCCTAGACATTTTCCTAGGTCAAATTGCCCTACAACATTCGATTCTGCTTTGTTTCTACCTTAGTATTCCAGCCACCTAAGATTTGCATTATACCTTCTCACTGCCTCTGCTACATCTTGCCTCCATTTCTTCGGTGTTTGTCATCTCCAAAGTAAAATATTTTGTGTTTGTCTGACTGAAAATGTCCTATTCCAGTCCACTTGAGTTTGGTTACATTGAATACTGTGACGCTTCCATTCCATTTCCTGCTTTATGGTTTCCAGTTTGCCTTGGTTCATTTTTCTCATGTTCCACATTCCAACCGTTGCACAGTATTGAACCGTCTTTTCATCTCTGTGCCTATCAATCACTAGAATTCCTTTCAGCTTTGATCTATCTGCATCGTTACCGATAGCACTATTTGTACCTGTCCTTTGTTCTTCCCGAGTAGTTCACCGAGTGCCTTCTAACCTGAGGGTTTCATCTTGTAGCACCATCACTTGTTTCTTTTTGGATTATTTCATCATGGGGCTTTTAAGGTAAGAAGATTCAGTAGTGGTTTACCATTGCCTGCTTCCGTGCAGTACTAATCAGAGTTAGCTTGAGTGTAGCTGCCCTTTCAGGAGTTTTTCCAACCCCATCATTGTTAGAGACATCCATTCTCTTCTGCTCATGCGACCATTCCTCTGGAAGAGGGTGGATGTCTCTGTTTCGACCGTTCCACTTTGGCTGAAAGTCTGGCTTCAGGGGAGCACTGCTGTCTGCTTCTGGGACACTCTCATACCCCCTCACCACATTAACGTATGTATCCCACAAGGGATTTTTTAAAATAGAACAAAGTGATTTCCATTATAAAAATCAGTCTCTCACTCCACCTATGGTTGCACATAAGGATTTTTTCTGAATTTTCCTTCTTAGGTGCCTAATGCATATAAAAACCATCACAGAATTAGCTGTTCAAAGGGAGTTCATCAGAGCTAAATTAAAGTTTAAACAGAAATAACACCAGTCCTTCAGATAACTATAAAATCTTCTACCTACATTGATTTTGCCACCTGAGCTTTGTACAGTAACATCTGTAAATGAGAAACTCATTTTTATAATGAAGTGATTAAGTAAATGAGTTGCTAACATAATAACAACTTAACAGGAAGGAAAGAGCACTGCTTTCTCCACAAAATGGGCACGACAACTATAGTATTTTTAGGGTTATGTTAAGAGCTGCCCAGCTCTAAATATCAGCAATCGGTTAAATAAATTTTCAGGTACAACTTTTTCTACAGAGTGAATAGCACAACTAAGCAACTTTAGACTGTGAAATTAATTACGTTGGTTGTTATGGGAGTTAGGGAGCCCTTGTGTATTTCTGCAGTTGCAAAACATACAAATAACATTCCTCCTCCCCTTCCTCTGTCCCTCCATTGCCACTAAATGCTTCTGAATTCCTGACTTGATAGAACAAAAATGTAAATTCAGTATATATTATTACTGTAGATGGAATCATTTTTAAAACTGTAGTTAAATGTGATTTTATATTAATATTTTAAATGCAATTTTAACAGTTTTATGTAAAAAGCTCAGTAATTTTTTAATATTCAGGTACAGAAATATTACAAAATGGGCAAGCTGTTTGGCATCTGGAATAAAACACCCCACACATGAATAGCACTGCATTTTAACTGAATATAGATCATACCACTATAAGCATATAGTTTGCATCTACTGCCTTGATGTTCTCCACACTTATTTGGTAAAAAGCAGCATTTTGCTGTCAGAAATATATTTTCAAAGAAAAATGTTAAATATCTAATCATGCACACATACTGGCAGCAGCCAATCAACAATACAACTTTTTCTTAAATATAAGATTATGGACATTCTTGTAAGCTCTGTCCATCCCGGTGGGGTCTGGCACGCCCATGTTGAAGCAGGTGCTGCTGCAGAACTCTTCCCCGATCACTTGCCGCTTTGTCGCTGCTCAGTTAGACGCAATGGGCTACATGCACAGTGGCCTCTATCTTCTGTCTTCCGCTTTCGCCTTTGAGCTCTCGCCCCCCCACCCGTCCGTTATGCAAGGCCTGGCATAGCCTTCGGCTCACCCTTGCCTCGCCACAGGGGCGTGTCGGGGGAACCCAGGTTTCAGCTTCTGTGAGCGCACAGCCTGGGGGCGCTCGTCGTAGATCCCCCTCTCCCAAAGCAAAGGAACACGCAAACTGAATCAACCCACCGAAGAAGGGCTGGGGAAGCCCTGGGCTTGCCCCGGAAGTGCTCCGCAGTTTGCAAACCAAAAGCCTGAGCTCAATGCCGGAGTCCCACCGATATGGAGCCAATAACAAAGGCTGTTCCCCTCACCATAAGCAGGGTGCCTTTCCCATAGCAAATGTGTACATTTCACTTGGCTCCTACAAAAACATTGGCAGAAAGCCAACTGCGCTTTTTGCTCACCCAGAACTTCAGACGACAACAGCGGCAATACTAGAAGAGCCCATCTCAAGAGCCTCACGCTGGAACCGCAGGGAAGAAGCCGCATCGTAGCGGCATCCATAAAGCGAAGCAAGCGAAGTTCTTTCTCGAAAGAAAAGCACTCCATGCAGAGGCGCGGCTTGAACCAAATTGACAGGAAGGAACAGCGCTGCTTTCCGGTGAAATGGGCGTGACCGCGATATTTTCGGTTCATGCTCAGGGCCACCCGCGTCTGGGAAGCGAGCGATCTGCGTAATCCTGCCTGGTCGTGTTCGTGTTGGGGGTGGGGGGAGAGTAAGATCGACTGGGATTGCTTTTTGCTTCATGCACGAAAATAGGGAGCGGAGGCATGGCACTACGCATATGCCGTTTAGGTGATTTCAGGCTTAGGCATGATCTCCTGGAAGCAAATCCTTTTGTGGTCTATTGGGACGAATGCTGCTGGCTGTAAAAGGTGCGTTCTTCTTGCGTTAAAGATTATTGCCTGCTGCAGATTTATTTGGAACCACTTTATGTTCACTCCCCCTTTTGCCTTGAATAATTCAGTGATAAGCACTTGCTTTATCTCACTTTTACAGTGAGCCTCTTTCTGACATGGCTGAGTGGTTTCAATTCCAGGAAAGCGAACTTAGTATGGCGCACCCTACCTGGGAATCCTTTCCAAAACGGGGCCCAACAATTTTCGTTGCACTACCATAGAGACAAAGTTCACAATTCTTCCAGTCTCTTCATCGGTTTTACATCTCTGTATACAAGAGATGACCAGCTTGTAAGTCATCTTGGTCATTGACCATTAATTAATAATTGCCTTTGGAAAACCTCACATTCACAAGCATTTCGCTTCCACAAATAAAATTCCCGGATGCGTACGGCCTCCCTCCCTTCTCCCTCGGTCACATGGCCCAGAACCATTCCTTCCCTCGTGGATAAGAAGTACATTTAAGTATCACCAGTGATCTGCCCTTGCTTCTCTTATGCTAATCCTTTTACCCCAATTCAGTAAGAGCATTAGAAAGAGCCACCGTCAGTGGAGTCCACATTCTGTTTCTATGCATGGCTGGTCAGCAAGGCTTGAGATCCAAACTAGCTGGCAGGAAGGCAAGAGACTTTTCTGTATTGTTTTCCTTCAGTATTTGAATAGCAAATAAATACTCTGCGGAGGATTTTTCTGACTAGCCCCTGCTGAGCCTATCTCAGGCTTTATCTCGTCTTCAAAGCTAGCAGCCTTTATATTCTATGCCAGTGCATGCCATTAATCTGTTGTACCCAGAATATCTTGCCAGTTACTAGGTGTGCCCATAGGACAAGTCTCTTTGTTCTCTCTACAGTTTGTACATAATCCTGTGTTGCGGCCTCTTATCAACTGTATGAAATCTGCAACCCTGTTAGCGTTCCTGATGTCGTTAAGGAGTCTAAAACTTTGGGGCAGCAAAAGTGGGAGGCGATTAGAAAGTACACATGTATTTTCTGTTTCTTCATATATTTGTTCTTCATGCAGTCTTACTGTGGACACCAAGAATAAAGCAACCATTACTTAAGAAACAACTTAGGGATTTTACTTAGTACTTAGGAACTTTACAGAAATAGTTGATAGGCAGTAAAGAAATTTAATGACCAGCGTGACAGCAGAGATATGAGTTCCATCTCTTCTTCAAGAGTTAAGTACTGCTTCCCCAGTTATAATAGCTAGCACTCATCTTTTGTACAAAACCTCATCTTCACTATTTATTAAAAATGCCATAATAAAGTTTTAAAGCAAGATAATATACCTTACTCATTATTTCAAATCTAAATGACATTTTATTAAACCAAGGATAGGATAGAGCGCACTTTTCACAAGCTTAAGAACACATGATTATGTCTGAAATACTAATTCAAGGGGCTTTTTTTAACAGGGTTTGGTTGGGATCTTCAGTGCCTGCACACACATCTATTTTCATTGTAATTTGTATAGCAGGAATTGGATTTTTGCCAGTTACAGTTCATCTATAACTGATACAGTGGTACCTTGGCTCACAAATGCCTCAGTTCACGACCAAATAGGGTCGCGAACAAAAATTTCATAAAAATTTTGACCCAGGTCTCAAACTCTGCATTGAGTGGTGATTGTGCTGGGGCGGGGAGGGGGGGGAGGACATGGCCGCACTTGTGCTCAGGGTGGTGGTGCGGGGGAGATGGCTGCGATCTTTCTTGTTCTTTGTCACTTTGCTTCACATTTTTCTTATTTAAAAAAATAGTTACAGAACGAATTAACCTTATTTACATTGAACCTTATGGGGAAATTTATCTTGGCTCATGACCAATTTGGGTCACAACCGGAGTCCTGGAACGGATTAAATTCATGAGCCATGGTGCCACTGTATTTTAAAAAGCCAGCCAGAATGTTTGGTGGCTTTTATTCAAATATATTGAACATTTGAAAAATTTATACAAACTTTTATTCCATTCATTTAACCAAATGTGTACGCTCAACATGAAATTTACAGAAATAACAGTACATAAATGCAGCTTGCCCTCTTGAAATTAATAGGCTTGGCTTCAGTACTGCTGACATACAGAAACTTTTGGTCACACTGATTTCAGTAGAACAATCAAGTTGCTTCCCACTAAAGTCTTTGTGCCCTAAAAGTGCCCCTTGATCTTTCTGTGTATAAAATATACAAAACTTTGAACTGAAACATACAGGATACAATTCCTCTCAAGTACATGTTATTGTTATCAGTGTATTTTTAAACCAGAACAAACAAGTTTAGACTCTGCACAGAGAATCATGGAGAATGCTGAAGTGTACAGAATTGACAGCCACCCTACATCTCTTTAAAACAGCCTTCCCCAACCTTGTGCCTTCCAGACAAATTTGGACTGCAACACCCAGAATTCCCAGTCAATGGCCTTGCTGGATGGGAATTTTGGGAGATGTGGTCCAAATGCCTCTGAAGGTCACCAGGTTGGGGAAGGTTGGTTGGAGATAATAGACATATAGAAAAGCTTTGAGGCCAAATGCATGCTAACTTGAAAGGTGATTTTTAGTGTTTTCTAGCAAGAGGGCAATATAAATGTCTTTATACACTATAAAGACCATAGACAATCCTTTATTGTGTGTGGGAGGTCAGTGATCCTTGCTTCATCTCTGCCTACCCTGAAAGGACCCCCCAGCCCTGTCCTCAGCCAGACATATCTTTTAGACTTCTGAAATCTTGTTGGCCGCTACTCAAATGTTCTCAAAGCATTCCTCTAGCCAGCAACATCACCATCAGTCAGCAGAGGGGGGCGAATACACTTGTGACAAATGCTTTCCTTTACTCCAAAACGTGGGTCTTCTGTGTAGAAGTTAAAACCTATGAGAGGATCTGGGCATCCACTGGGGTTAACACCACTATTATAAAAACCCCTCAATCTGCACAGTTCATCAGCATTCATTTCCAGGAAGAAGGCCATCTTATCACAGCAAGATGTGGGATAAGAAAGTGTGCACATGCATGCATGCAAATCAATCTTTTCCTCTCCCACTGCAATTTATTATCTTCAGTTTGCCGTTTCTATCTAAAGGGAGTTGCTGCCATTGAAGATATACTTTTAAGAATTACTTTTCTGTCACTGATTTGATTTCACCCAACCCACTTACTTCCAAACAGCTCACAAAAAGGGTAAGAGCTTTTCCCTGATAGGGAGAGGGGGCAGAAGCTGCTGAGCAATTCTTACTGAGCATGCTTAAAATCAGTAAGAATCAGTTGGCCCTACCAACAAATGAGTCATGTTCCCCCAAGACCTGTCATGGATGGAAATTTGACCCTTAGACTGAAAAAGTTCCTGACCCCAGCCATAAGTGGTGGACTTTTCTTCCAGAACAGAAGTGAGTCTGTTTCATCCTCCCGCTTTTCTCTTTGTTGTTGCCGCAGATATTCCTTTCATGGCTGAATTTTGCTAACAAGCTTCATTTCAAAAACAGACAAGTTATGTTATCTGAAAGCTCTGAAGCCACACTCTTAAGTTCACAGAATAAGATGCTTGCTTAAATGATATAGGGTAACTGTAAGGGAAGGGTCTATATCCTTTAAGTGCATTTGTGAGAAATGTTATGAGACAGTTGTGGGAACTCACAAAATGGCTGCCAGCAGGGGGTTGCTTTCATTAGCCCTGCCTAATGTGATTGCTTGGTTTCACGTACCTTTAACTGAAAGTGGTTTTCCACTCCAGTGAACACCAGCTTCACAGGCAGGGATAACGCTAGTTCTCATGATTCGAGATTTTATTCTTGAAATTATGTACAGAACAGGTCAAAACAAAAGTGATATGTGCAAGTGCGCAGGACTTTTTAAAAGGCCAAAAATTGCTTCATGCTTGAATTATATGTTCAATTTCTATAACTATGAAAATTGTTGAAGCTTTACATTCACATCTTCACTAAATTCCCATATCTGTTTCTCAAACAAAAATTGAGAATTAAAAAACAGCTAGAATTCCTGGAGTTCTACTGAAGAAGTTCAGTACTTTCAGATGAAGATCTTGACTGCTTTATTTTGTTTCCAATGGCAGATCTTTGCTGCAGACTGCATAAGACTCCAAAGAGGCAGGATGAGGGTCAGTTTTCCTTAGAAGAGGAAAAAAGTCAAATTTCAAATTCATACCTATATTTAATTCAAATGAATTTCAGCAATGACTTCCTCTTATTCAGTTTTATTAATACAAAAAGAATTAATGCACACAAATTCTATTTAACAACACAGTACTGACCTTTTGAAAGAAATGTTAGTAATGTTCACACTGAAGAAAATGCAATCACTCTTGCTTCCAAACATCCAGGAAAATCAGACCACAGAAATTACAGAACTAGAGAGATGAATGACAGCAACTGTAGGATATTAGATGCAAAGCATGCAACATACATAAGGATTATACAAGCACTAGAGAAACATGTCTGGAAGATGTGTAGCTTAAGTACAGAAAAAAGATCCTTTCCAATAAATTCCCCTGAGATTCCTTGTTCAGAAATGAAATTTCCACAGACCTTCCTGTGTGCACATATCAAAGATAAGACATATATATGGTACTGAATGGATGTCATGTATGAAAATATCACTTAAGAAAGTACATTCAGCTGTGTCTGGTGGAGGGTTTGTGCTAACAGAAAGCCCATACACTTGTATAAAGCAGCACACCTGAAGAGCAAGTCAAGATAACCCTACACAAAATAACTATTTTCTTATGTTTTCTTTACTAGTAATTTATACATACTGCCGTTATTGTTAAATGCATTTTGTTAAAATGTTTCCTGTCACTACCAAATAAATGTATATATAGGATATTTTAGATGAATGGAGGGGGAGCTGAATGGGCTCACTCTTTATTGCTGGTGCACACCTACAATAAAGGTATTTTTTTAAAGACTTTTACTGGTGTTGCCTTTCGCTTGAACTGAGGTCAGATAACAAAGAGGGACTTTTGCTCTGCTCTCAAACATTGGGTTCACACAGTATAAGAAATCCTGTGTGGTTTTTTGTGTGGATGTGTCTGAAAGATGATCAGCCTCATCATGCTAACTCTTGTGCCACTCACCACTTTCTTCCTTCTCAGGACTCTAGGCAGTAACCCGGGGGCACTGTGGGAAAGAATGAGGCTCCTTGCTTTAACAGCTGCAATTGCAAGCCACATTTGGTTCACCACAGCTATCCAACAGTCTGTGCTTGCACCAACAGGGTTCATACCTGAAGCACAGCCAAGATGACAAGCAGCTGCTCAGGCACTCTTCCCTCCTGCTTCAGAGGGAAGATGAGGGGTGCCCAAGCTGGACTCAGGCAAAAGAGGGGTACATAAACGAGCTGCACCCCACTCCAGCAATGCCTCAGTGGAACACTTCCTCTGTGTAGGCAACAGGAGCAAGCAGAGCTTGGTGGCACACCATGCCATTCTTCTTGTGTGAGCAGCAGGATACCTGCATGCCATAGCAGATCCCCCTACTGCACCCCTTTTCTGTGGCTCCCCCTCAGTGCTACCACTCCGCTGGCTTGGGATGCTGCTCTAGCAAGTCAGAGCGAGAAGGCACAGTAGGGAAAACTATCTTAGTGGATTCTGCAGAGGACATCGAAAAAGTGGCAATGGGAGGGCAAGAGCCTTTGAAACTCCAAGGCCATTGACCCTGGTTTGAAAAGAGATGTTTTGCAAAAGACTGGAGGGGACACAGGAAGGAGTCAGTGCCTTGCCCAATCCCTGACCCCATGATGAGGCCTCGGGGGAAATGAGCTACTCAGAGCACTTGTGTGGATCTCACCAGCAGAGGCTACCCTGAAGGTTCAGCCTGCAGCGTGAAGGAAAGGAAAGGACTGGGGAGAAGGTTCCAGTTTGAGCTCAACACTCACTCTACATGAGCAGAGGCTTATCATTCAGCTTGCTAGAAGACTTCTAGAATTGTACTGTTTAGTTAGTTGTGAAGTGTCAACAACAATACACACTGTAAGGGACCTATCAGGTGTTTTTGAGCCTAGGGCAAGAAAGGAAGGGTCTGACTCATGATAGGCTCCTCACAAAAAGGCCAGCATGTACCCTGAAGTATAAAGGGCTCCAAAAGGTTATCTCCAGTCTGCAAGAATGAACATCAACATTGCAAATGCAGCTGAGTGTAAGCAAGCATAAATACAAGTTAGGCCAAAAAAATCCGAACTTCATGTATTAGCTGATGAGATCTGGGCTAGTGGTGACTGACCAAGAAAAATATCTTGGGGTTGTGCTGCACAGCTCAAGGAAACTATCAACTTGGTGCATGACCATTGTGAAAAGGCAAACTCTGTAAAAGAATACTTAGTAAAGGAATCGAAAAATAATACTGCCATCTGTATACTGCCCCCATATAGATCTATGGTACAATCACACTGCATACTGTTTGGTCTCTACATTTAAAAGAGGATATTGTAGAGCTGAAAAAAGTGCAGAAAGGGGCAATTAAAATTTGAACTTTGAGCAATTCCCCAAGGGAAAAGCTAACAGCAGAGATTGTTTAACTGAATAAAAAGCCAAGTAAGAGGTTTTGTGATAAAGGTGTAGAGAAGTATACATGCTGTGAAGAGAGATTTTTCTTCTTCTCCCATACTACTAGATTTTGGGGTCAACCTATGAAACATTAATAGGTAGTTCAGGAACAGGTAAAAGGAAGTATTTCTTCACACAGCACATAACCATTGGGATTCATGTTCGTAAGATACAGTATTGGCCACCAGTTTAAAAGGGGATTGGACAAATTCCTGGAGGAGGAGGTTATCAATCACTACTGCTTTTGGTGGCTATATGCTACCTCTGCTAACACAAACATGATAGTTGCTAAGGAGCTTGGCTAGGAGGATGCTGTTACCCTAAGATGCTGTTCCCTTGCTTTTGGGCATCCTACAAATAGCTGGTTGGCCACTATGTCAACAGAATGCTGAAACAGATGGACCCTTGGCAACATCCAGCATGGATTTTCTTATGTGTGGGGACACTCCTTTCTGAGTGAGAGTCCAACCCTAAAATCAGACTAATTTTTATTTTAGATAATTCATAAAAGGCAAAAAACCCTGGGAGAGGAAAAGGCAAGCACTGTAAGAGACCAAAATTATATGCATGTCAGAATAGACCCTTCCAATGATCCACTGGCTTTTCATGCTTGAAATCAAGGCCTGCTTACATATTTTCCAAGTTAGTCATAAGGACCAAATCATGAAAACTTTTCCATGAGCTCACTGGGTCATTACAAGAGAGGATGTGCCAAAAAAGCTGGGGGGGGGGGGATTCAGAGGACAATCTTTAGCCGTGTACTCTGAATAACCTACTCAGTGATCGCCAAATGAATATATCATAATTGGGACCAATACAAAATTAAAAGTATGAACAGTTCCAAGCAGGAAATATCAAGTAGTTAACTGGTTTCACACTCTCAAACTCAAACAGCTACCTGGAAAAATGAAACTACAAGAACATTTCTAATACAATCCTATCGAGATTCCATTCCATGGCAAATATTTATGCAGAGTAACACATGACTACTTTCCAGATAAAAATATTAAGGTGTAATCTATTAGGATTCCCCCCCCCCAAAAAAGGTATATTTATCTGTACCTGAGGCAAGACCATGAGTTTAAATCAATATGCTTTGCTAATGACTTGAAAGTTATGTTGATCATATGTAATCATCCTGTTAAGAGATTTTTGCACTGAATACCTGTGATTAGTAAAACATTGCTGAATTAATTTAGGGACACACAATAATGTTCAAAGTTTTGTAAACCTGTTTCATAAAAATACCAAAACATGAATATGATGCTACAAGCAAACATGGAAAACGCTGAACAAAACAAAAAACAGCAAGAAAGGAAGTTGTGCAGGAAAGAAACTCAGAACAATCCTATTTTAATGTCTCTAGGTTAGGACTGCAGAAGTTTATATTAAATGACAGTGTCTGAAGAACCTTAATGACTTCAAGACAAGGTTCTTCAACAAATGTATCATACTGCTGAGTTGGAAAGCCAAGAAGTGAAAAAAAAGCAGTCCCATTGTTGTGTAGCCATTTTGACAAGGATTTTAAAAATTTCAGTGAAAGAATATTCATTAGACATTGCTATGCCTGTGTTAGAATGGACAGGCCATATTAAAAAAAGACAGGCCATTTTGCACTCCAAAATGTCCATCCTGGGAACTTAATAAAATACAGTTTAGTCATTTTTGAGAAACTACACTTTACCTGATGCTGTTTGTTCTGTGCTGGGATTATTGCAACTGCTGCAAATACCAAACACAAGCCCTTTCTGGATACAAAGCACATTTAAATAGAAAGCATAGGCTGTGCAGAAGGCACAGGGAAGCCCAGAAGCACACACTCCTTCACAGAATCAGAAGGAGGCTACAGAAACCAGATATAGCATGTCCTGGGCTGACTCACCGCTTTTTATGTTGACCTTGGAATTTCGTAGCTACACCAGCTCCAGCTAAACCAATCACAAGTATACAACCAACTGTAGCTCCTTGAGGGGAAAAAGTAAAAAAAAAAAAATCCAGTGATGTATTGGAAAGTATAAAATAAAGTGATCCATCCCTGAATGGAGTAGTATCAGTAAAAGCTCCCAACATATTTCCAGAGTGTTTTGGAAAAATCCCATTTTTTTCTAGGTCAAATATAGAAGACAAAGAAGAGAACCATGAAATTGAAGGAGGACACATTTACTTGCCAGAAACAAGTCCAATGAACTCCAATATCATGAACGGTGCCACCGGTTGACAATTTCCATTAGTTTTCCAGGGTTTTTGTTAGGTATTCAGGACAGGAACCACATTGCCTTCATGGAAGGAAGTGGGAATCCTCTCATGCACAAGCTACCTGGACATACACA